TTATAGAACTTGGCTTGTATATTATACGATGATGGGCTTCCTCAAATGCCCGAGGTCTTCATGAGCAAGCAAGTTGGATGCACACCCACTTAGTTTCCAGTTTGAGCTTTCATACACTTATAGCTCTTACTGCATCCGTTGCATGGCAATCCCTACTCACTCACATTGATATCTATTAATGGGCATCTCCATAGCCCATTGATACGCCTAGTTGATGTGAGACTTTCTCCTTTTTTTGTCTTCTCCACACAACCTCCACCATCATATTCTATTCCACCTATAGTGCTATGTCCATGGCTCATGCTCATGTATCGTGTGAAAGTTGAAAAGGTTTGAGAACATCAAAAGTATGAAACAATTGCTTGGCTTTTCATCGGGGTTGTGCAAGATTTGAATATTTTGTGTGGTGAAGATGGAGCATAGCCACACTATATTATTTTGTAGGGATAACTTTCTTCGGCCATGTTATTTTGAAAAGACATGATTGCTTTATTAGTAGGCTTGAAGTATTATTGTCTTAATGTCAAATGATAGACTATTGCCTTGAATCACTCGTGTCTTAATATTCATGCCATGATTAGACATGATCAAGATTATGCTAGGTAGCATTCCACATCAAAAATTATCTTTTTTATCATTTACCTACTCGAGGACGAGCAGGAATTAAGCTTGGGGATGCTGATACGTCTCCGTTGTATCTATAATTTTTTATTGTTCCATGCCAATATTATTCAACTTTCATATACTTTTTGGCAACTTTTTATATTATTTTTGGGACTAACATATTGATCCAGTGCCCAGTGCCAGTTCCTGTCTGTTGCATGTTTTATGTTTCGCAGAAACCCCATATCAAATGGAGTCCAAACGGGATAAAAACGGACGGAGAATTATTTTGGAATATTTGTGATTTTTGGGAAGTAAAATCAACGCGAGACGGTGCCCGAGGTGGCCACGAGGGTGGGGCCCACGCCCTCCCCATTAGGGCGCACCCCGACCCTCATGGGCCCCTCGTAAGGCGGCTGATGCTCTACTTTTGCCGCAAGAAAGCTAATTTTTGGAAAAAGATATGGGCGAAGGTCTCAATCCAATCGGAGTTATGGATCTCCAGATATAAAAGAAAAGGTGCCAGGGCAGAATCCCAGAATGCAGAAACAGAGAGAGACAGAGAGACAGATCCAATCTCGGAGGGGCTCTCGCCCCTCCCACGCCATGGAGACCATGGACCAGAGGGGAAACCCTTCTCCCACCTAGGGATAAGGTCAAGGAAGAAGAAGAAGGAGGGGGGCTCTCTCCCCGTCGCTTCCGGTGGCCCCGGAACAACGTCGGGGCCATCATCATGACCGCCATGTTCACCAACAACTTCACCGCCATCATCACCAACTCTTCCCCCCTCTATGCAGCGGTGTAACCTCTCTCTTAACCGCGGTAATCTCTACTTAAACATGGTGCTCAACGCTATATATTATTTCCCAATGATGTATGGCTATCTTATGATGTTTGAGTAGATCCGTTTTATCCTATGGGCTATTTGATGATCGTGATTGGATTGAGTTGCATGTTTTATTATTGGTGCTGTCCTATGGTGCTCTCCGTGTCGCGCAAGAGTGAGGGATCCCCGCTGTAGGGTTTGCAATATGTTCATGATTTGCTTATGGTGGGTGGTGTGAGTGACAGAAGCACAGACCCGAGTAAGTAGGTTGTTTGCGTATGGGATAAAGGGGACTTGATACTTTAATGCTATGGTTGGGTTTTACCTTAATGAATCTTTAGTAGTTGCGGATGCTTGCTAGAGTTCCAATCATAAGTGCCTATGATCCAAGTAGAGAAAGTATGTTAGCTTATGCCTCTCCCTCAAATAAAATGGCAATAATGATTACCGGTCTAGTTATCGATTGCCTAGGGACAAATAACTTTCTCGTAACAAAAAAGGCCGTTTACTAATCTAGTTGTGTCTTTATCTAAAAAGCCCCTAACTTTTATTTACACTCTCTTTATATTCTTGCTAGCTTACCCAAAAACACCTACAAAGTACTTCTAGTTTCATACTTGTTCTAGGTAAAGCGAACGTCAAGCGTGCGTAGAGTTGTATCGGTGGTCGATAGAACTTGAGGGAATATTTGTTCTACCTTTAGCTCCTCATTGGGTTCGACACTCTTACTTATCGAAAGAGGCTACAATTAATCCCCTATACTTGTGGGTTATCAGCGGGTTCCGCCCCTGAACCTATGCATAGGGGTTGGCACACGTTTTCGTCATGATTCTCCAGTAGAAACTTTGGGCACTCTTTGAGGTTCTTTGTGTTGGTTGAATAGATGAATCTGAGATTGTGTGATGCATATCGTATAATCATACCCACGGAAACTTGAGGTGACATTAGAGTATCTAGGTGACATTAGGGTTTTGGTTGATTTGTGTCTTAAGGTGTTATTCTAGTACGAACTCTAGGGCTGTTTGTGACACTTATAGGAATAGCCCAACGGATTGATTGGAAAGAATAGCTTTGAGCTGGTTTTGTACCCTACCATAATCTCTTCGTTTGTTCTCCGCTATTAGTGACTTTGGAGTGACTCTTTGTTGCATGTTGAGGGATAGTTATATGATCCAACTATGTTATTATTGTTGAGAGAACTTGCACTAGTGAAATTATGAACTCTAGGCCTTGTTTCCTATCATTGCATTACCGTTTATGCTCACGTTTACCACCTGCTACCTTGCTGTTTTTATATTTTCAGATTACAAAAACCTATATCTACCATCCATATTGCACTTGTATCACCATCTCTTCGCCGAACTAGTGCACATATACAATTTACCATTGTATTGGGTGTGTTGGGGACACAAGAGACTCTTTGTTATTTGGTTGCAGGGTTGTTTGAGAGAGACCATCTTCATCCTACACCTCCCACGGATTGATAAACCTTAGGTCATCCACTTGAGGGAAATTTGCTACTGTCCTACAAACCTCTGCACTTGGAGGCCCAACAACGTCTACAAGAAGAAGGTTGCGTAGTAGACATCAGCGCGCGGCCCTTGCCCTGGCCGCTCACCTCTCTTCCACCAAGGCCCACTATGGCCCATTAACCTCCCGGGGGGTTCCGATAACCTCCCGGTACTCCGGTAAAATCCCGATTTCACCCGGAACACTTCCGAGATCCAAACATAGGCTTCCAATATATCAATCTTCATGTCTCGACCATTTCTAGACTCCTCGTCATGTCCGTGATCACATCCGGGACTCCGAACAACCTTCGGTACATCAAAACATATAAACTCATAATATAACTTTCATCGAAATGTTAAGCGTGCGGACCCTACGGGTTCGAGAACTATGTAGACATGACCAAGACACGTCTCTGGTCAATAACCAATAGCGGAACCTGGATGCTCATATTGGCTCCCACATATTCTACGAAGATCTTTATCGGTCAGACCGCATAACAACATACGTTGTTCCCTTTGTCATCGGTATGTTACTTGCCCGAGATTCAATCGTCGGTATCTCAATACCTAGTTCAATCTCGTTATCGGCAAGTCTCTTTACTCGTTCTGTAATACATCATCCCGCAACTAACTCATTAGTTGCAATGCTTGCAGGGCTTAAGTGATGTGCATTACCGAGAGGGCCCAGAGATACCTCTCCAACAATCGGAGTGACAAATCCTAATCTCGAAATACGCCAACCCAACAAGTACCTTCGGAGACACCTGTAGAGCACCTTTATAATCACCCAGTTACGTTGTGACATTTGGTAGCACACAAAGTGTTCCTTCGGTAAACGGGAGTTGCATAATATCATAGTGATAGGAACATGTATAAGTCATGAAGAAAGCAATAGCAACATACTAAATGATCGAGTGCTAAGCTAACGGAATGGGTCAAGTCAATCACATCATTCTCCTAATGATGTGATTAGTTAATCAAATGACACCCATGTCAATGGCTAGGAAACTTAACCATCTTTGATCAACGAGCTAGTCAAGTAGAGGCACACTAGTGACACTCTGTTTGTCTATGTATTCACACATGTATTATGTTTCCGGTTAATACAATTCTATCATGAATAATAAACATCTATCATGATATAAGGAAATAAATAATAACTTTATTATTGCCTCTAGGGCATATTTCCTTCAGTATGCATGCGACTTTTTTCAGATTTTTTTGACATTTAGAAATAGGTTTTCCAAAGTGGGTTCATATGCCCATGGGGTTCATCCATGCACTTCTCCTCTGCTCCTCTCTTTATTCAATGAAAAGCTGCACTGCGAACTAATTCGGCTCTAAGTAACTACTCACTGGCCTCGTACAACAGTAAGGTTACTAAATTTGTGTTACTCCTTTGAGTTTATCAAATGTACAACATTTTTGTTCTATTTTTATTTTTCACATCCAAGCTATTAATTGATATAATTACACTGGTCAGTATGGGTGATAAGTTTCCTATACAAAACAGTTTTGCGTCGTTTACTTTCTGTAATCAAGTCGCCCGAGCCACGAGTAAGATTACTTGTATCATCAACAGAACATGCATGTATATCCTAACAACACCGGGGAGGTAGCTTGATGTAACTGACATACCCACGGCATGCGTGTTGAGAGATCTGGCAACCAACATAACAGTGAAGGCTTATCGGCTGTGGCTAGCTCTTCATGTATTTTTGTCTTGTGTTTGTTGAGAGTTGCTGAGATTGGTTGTAAGATTGAGCGATGAACCCAGCTTTACAACATTGTGGATGCGCAAGAACTCACGATATGTGAGGGAACGGTAGCGCATGGGGTTTCCTTCGCCAATGAACTCCTCTGAGGGCCCGATGAGGCAATCCGCATCCGGCTCGATGAAAACCGCCACCGACATTCGTGGCATCACCGAGTTAGTCATCACCCGGTGCTCTATGCTCTTCAGCACCCCGTTGGTTACGACCTGCAAGAAACAACCAACATATAATGATGACTGATCCCATAAACAGACTGGAATGAGCAACTTAAGCCAACCAGATTAATCATTGATGCATTAACTCAAGTTGCAAGCCGAAGTTGACGACAAAGGCATTTGGCATAGGCTCCACGTTAATCCAATCACCCTTGTAGGAAACTTGGAGACCAGGGACTACACCAGGTAGGAAAAGGGTGATGAGGTTCCGATCGCAGTGTGGCGGTAGCCGGAGCGCGAGGCTCGAGTCCGAGCACCTTGGGTAATGGTTGAGGGAGATGGTGGTATTACCGCAGCTGAGGGCCCCATCGAAGTAGTCAGGGTGGAGCCCCATGCCCTCGCTCAGAAGCCGCAGTAGCTCCATGCCCACACCTCTTGTCAGCAGGAAGAACGTCTCGACAACCTCTCTGTAGCCAAAGGCAAGCCAATTCACAAGGAAGAAACTCACTTCTCCACCATGCATGGATGCTCAATTGCTTGTGATAGATGGATATATAGGTAAAATTCTTGGGGGGTTTTGGCCCATGAACTAAGTAATTCCTAGATAAATCTCGAAGGCCTATGTGCCATTACATGACGGCGTGAAAATATATTACCTAAGGCCTTGGGGCTTATCGGGCCAGTGATTCTTGCTGTCTCCCACGGGGAAGGTGGAGGCGAGGCGGAGGCAGTCCAGCCAGTACTTGTCGCCGCTGGTGTTGAAGGTGGTGCCAGAGAAAAGCCGGTTGAGCTTGCGTCTGTCATCCGAGTAGAAGGGTGCCACATCCAGCACCGGGAGGCGGAAGAACTCCTCGCACACCGCCTCCATATCCCGCATCGCATGCTCAGGAACGCCGTGGTTGACCACCTACATGCATGTACACGTATGTAATCAAAAAGAAAAATTGAAAAGAGGAGGAAGACCCTGGCCTCTGCATCATCATGATGCACACGTACGTAATCAAATGCCAGTAGCAAATTAGATGGTTGGACCGACCAGGAAGAAGCCCAGCTCCTTGCCGGCGTCGAGGATGGCGCGGCGGACCTCGTCGTGACTGAGGGGGAGGTCGACAACGGGGAGGGAGACGGCCGGTGGCGGGGCGAGCAGCTCGTGGGACGAGGCGGAGGAGAGCAGTTTGGCCATGGGATGGTAATGTGTGGAGTGGAACACGCACACGACAAGAACTAACAGGAGTACACTTGCTACCTGGCACGCTCTTTAATTTATAGGCGTGGAGTATTAAATTGTGTGGGTCGGAGATCTCTATCAGCTAGCGATTGGCTCTTTAATTTATAGTTGGAAGCTCGGCTCTTTAATTTAGTGAAAGGTCGTTTGATCGGCTCATTTATTCATCCCAACAATCTTTGTTTTTAATTACCCTTTTTTTGCGAGGAAGTTTTAAAAAAATGTGACCAACCCAAAAGCTAACCACCGTTGACATTTTTTTATAGAAGAAACTCTACAAGCACCACACGTCAAAGTCAGGGCTTGAACTTGGGTGGGCTGGCAGCTACCTCAGCTGCCCAGCCAACGGGTTTTAAATTAACTTGTTTAGCCGTTGAGCACAACAATACGAACAAACAAGTAGCTCTAACTAATCACAAGTGGCCAGCTCAACTACCTAGTCCGAAATGACTAGGCGAGTTGAAATTATTTCTCGTGTCCAAAACCATATGGTGTTTGTTTTAGTTAAACAATAGTCCGGCCCTATTCTAAAGCACCACCTTGACATTTTAAAATTTTCAATGCGTGCAGCATGTAATGCTTAATTGGATGCACGCTGTATCTCGACGACCGACCATTGCAAAAGAACAAAGTGAAAGGACAATGATAGACACGGAGTGTATATTATTTGATCGATCGAGTCAGACAGAAGAACAACCGATTGATTGGATCAAGTCTTTAATAATGGACATCAATATTGAGGATCCCCACCGATCAGCTAATCGGCGAGTACTCTTTCAGGAGCCGCCATAAGGATCATTTTTGTGTCATTTTTGACATTAATAATGGACATAGATATAATGATGATAACATAAACGTTCAGATCTGAAAATCATGGCACCCATAGCCAATGTAATAAGCATTAAGAGCATGACAAAGTCATAGCAACATAAATATCAGAACATAATGAATATAAGGGATCAAGCCCTAACAAAACTAACTCGATTACATGACGAATCTCATCCAACTCCCTCACCGACCAGCGAGCCTATGAAGAAATTACTCACTCCCGGTGGGGAGCATCATGGAATTGGCGATGGAGAAGAGTTGGTGATGACGAAGATTGAAGATTCCCCTCTCCGGAGCCCCGAATGAACTCCAGATCTGGCCTCGCGATGAAGAACAGGAGGTGGCAGCGGCTCCGTCTCGTGAAACACGATAATTCTTTTTCCCTGATTTTTCTCCGAAAATAGGATTTTATAGTA